AAATATTTATTCAACACATACTGTATTCTAGGTGCCACATGTGATGGACAAGGGATGCAGTACCTTTCAATTTTAAGAACTGGTATTTGAATGGATTACATCCATATAATACCACAAGACAGAAAAAGTATGAAAAAAGAGAATATATGGCCTACTGGACCAGGTTTCCTTCCTAAATTATAGCCATAGCTAACTTTAATAAACACATATTATTGATCTTGAGTTTTGGATTTAATTCATAGCCATAGCTATGAATGCAGAATGAAGGAGAACTAAGTTAATATCTTGTAGATAGCAATCATGAGAACTGAGAAAAGGAGCCAGTCTAGTGATTCAGACTATCAATTCTTAGTAACTATTAAGCATACAATGAACTAGATCCCAACTGAGTTTCTTTCCACTTCCAGAGTCCAAAGATGTAAGGACAGGGATGGGAACAGTCTGAATTCCTTTTTTCTAGGATTTTGTTAGCCATAAAATATTTCATTTATAACCAATGGCTTTTTTTTTCATGTCAGATGAGCAATGTGCCAAAATTGTTTGAAGGGGGCAAATCTCATGCATTTGGCATGAATATCCAATTATCACACCCATAAACTAAAGGATCGATTGATTGCTTTTAAATGTGTAGGTTTAATATTCTAAAACTGTGTACTAGCAATGAAAGAATAAAGTGAGACTTCCAGCTTCTTGTGTCCTGAGAGCAGGCTGAGGGACCATCAAGGAATAGATGGATCATGAAGAAATGGAACAGAGATGATTTGGGGCTTAAAGATGAGCCCATTGCTATTATTTAATGTCTCTGTGCAGTTTACTATTTATTATTTTCTGGCTGACCTGATCAGAGTTGCTTGGGAGATTTGTCTGTTACTATGAAATACACATCTGCTATGGTGTACCTTGGAACACGCTGCTTAGGGATGACTGTCTGAAAAGCAGCTTGGAGGCAGATTAGCGCCATAATTCATGGCCTCTGCCATGGAGTCCACATTTGCAGTCACCATTTTCTCTGTCCACCTTGTCACACCTACAGCTCATGGTCTTGTCGTCTTCTGGGGATTGACAAGAGTTCTTGTGCATGGGAAGAGTTTGTTATATCTTAAGGACTGTCAAATGCAACCAGTTTACAAAAAAAGCAGAAAAAGCAACAACATGGAGACAGAAACTAAATATACAATTGGAAGGGGAGATAGTTAAAGGGGCAAAATTTTGAAGGAAGCAACAAGAGTGAAACAAATACTCCTATTTATCTGAAAAGTCATTTTAACACAGTTCCAGAAGCCTGCTAAATAATGGCCAGGATTCTCTAACTTGAAAACTTTGTAAATTTCCTACTGTTTATATCTGTTTCTCTTAACCAATGTCATATAGTAAAATAATTTAAGAAAATGTTACTGTTCAGCTGTCAGAAATGAGCCACTAGGAATACAAATTTAAACTATAGTGGTTTCATTGTACCAACAATTTTTGAATTTCTATTGATTTTTATTTGATTAGTATATTTAAGAGCCACATTATATGAATGTAGTTTTATGGATGCCTATGTAATAGAATAATCATGATATGGATAAAATACTCATGATTCCAAAATATTCTTAATGGTCAAATACAGTAATATCTCAGTTCATGAATGCTTCTGTTTGTGAACAACTCGGTTCTCAAACAGCAGTGTTTGGCAAAATTTTGCTTCTCTTACCAAGCTCTGTACTGACTGACAAACAAGACAATGGCAATCCTCCCCATACACACACAAAAAAAAGGTGCCCATCTTCCCCAGAAGCATGGAATGAATTAAGTTCATGAAAGAAGGCACAACTGTACATGGAAGCAGTTTTTATCAAGGCACAATTCTGAACAAACATTGAAAATTTGCTGTCGAATTCCTCATGAAGGCACAGGAAGTAGACTTCTATGGTCATCAGAATCTTAAGATTTACTGCCTCACTCTACTAGTTTTGAAACTAAGTGACCTAAATCTGAAGATATGTGATATTAAGCAGGCACTTGAGGATAATTAATTTGGTTCTTTGCATTTGAAGAGTGAGAATATGTGTCACCATGTGTCCCTCGCCCAGCTTCAATAGTCTGCTTTCAGCTATCCGTCTATCATTTGCTATACAAATTATTTTGAGGCAAAACACATATATTATTTTATTTCATCTGTGTATGAGTATACAATTTTAACTATTATTCCCATTATTACTTCCTATGACTGAATTATTTATCAGTTATCAAAGGTACATATTTCTCAAAAATGTTTTTGAATGAAAGAATGAATAAAAGACTAATGTTTATTGAGAATTCACTATGTGTCACTTGTGCCAATAGTCTTGCATGCACTTTCTTGCTCAATTCTTAGAACAACCTGTACAGGAAAAACAAACTTTGTTTCTCTACACTCTCATTCAACACCACTTCACTTCTGGCCACCAAATGTTGGGAGTTTTTTCCACACCAAGCAGCTTTTTGTGGCTACTAAATTGTATCCAACAATTTAACTCAATTCTGACACTTTCTACTACTGAGTATGCAAAGTCTGCTCAATGTTTCTGTCAGGACCCATTGATAGCTTCTTGCCAACATTAGCCCCAAATCATCAACTTGCCAACTATGTGCAGGGTCTTTCCCCAGGAAATCTTCTTCTTGGCCACGTAGAATATCTGCCTGTTTTCCTGGCAGACAGAACGATTCTTGTGGACATTGTGTTGGAATCTGGAGCAATGTGCCTAGATTCAGCCCATCTCTGCATTGCCTCAGAACTCCCTTGTCCACTAGTTTTGTGGACCCAGGTATTCACCTCAAGGGAATGCACCAGAAAGTTCAGTTAGCTCTATCCCTTTTCGAAGCTAGAAAGTGGTTCTTCTGATGAGTATCACCCTAAAATTCCTAGAGTGGTTTCCAAAAAGGCCTCATCCCGTATAAGCATTCAGATTTCCTTGCCTATCTATCTGACCACATGCGTAGGTGAATTAGTCAGCTTTTTGTGGCTATAACAAATAACTGAGAAAATCAACTTACTTGGTCAAAAGAGTTATTTTGGCTTGGTTGTGGAGGTTTTGGCTTATGACTGGTTTGCTCTGTTGCTTTAGGTCCATGGCAGCACATTATGGCAGGAGCACATTGCACAGCAAAGCTTTTCATCTTATGGCCAGGAAGTGAATAACAGAAGGGCATAAGGCTGGGGTCCCACTATTCCTTTCATTGACATGCTCTCAATGACCCCAAGACTTCCCCTTAGATCCCACCTCTTAAAGGTTCCACTCTCGGTAGCACCAGGAGCTGTGGACCAAGTGTTTAATATATGGGCTTTTACGGACATTCCAAATCCAAACTACAGCTCTAGTCCATTCACTAATGCCCATGAGTAAGTGAAAATTCAAGCATGGGTGTTTTTGTCATTGCTCAATTCTTCCATTAATGCTAGGAAAATAGTCCACAGTTAAGCCCATCGAGACATTTTCCCCTTCTCCTCTTCCTCCTTCTTCTTTTACCATACTCTTTCCATTCTCTGGTCTTAAAGTAGTAGCTTTCCAGACAGGATGCACTATTTATCTTGGAACTCTCATCTGTAAATCAAGCAACTCTTTGCTGATTGATTGGGAGCTGGCAATGACACTGTAGTCGTGGTGGGTGTTGAATGGTTCCAGAACAGTTCTAGAGGAAAGGAGACTACTTTTCCCTGGATACAGTGATGCCTCCTTGCATTTCCCTGGTTGCTTCATCCTGTATAAATCATTTCCATTTAATTACAGAACTCTTCTGAGTGTTGCCTTCCTTATTAGAGGGTTTCTCTAACATCTGTGACAAGAGTATCTCTTATTTGTTACCCAAGACATTTTTTTTTTGACAATAAGTTGGTCCAACTTTATTATAAACTGTTACAAAAGACATAAAAACCAGTATCTTTGGTTTTAAGGTCTTTAGAAATCTGAGTTATGTCTTACTACAGAAGAAAATAAATTAGTTCAAATTACAGTATAAAACAAATGTTTACAAATGAAAAGTGTATCATTAAAAGTTTGTAAGTGGTTTCTTCTTACTTCACAACTATTAACAGTGCTTTAAAAAATTCCATTTACCACTTTGGGATTGAATGAGAAAACCCATACTTAGTCTAACATTAATGATCACAGTAGAATACTCTGGCAGTGACCTTCAGAAGATGCTCTGTTGCTAGATGAAAACATTTTGTATTTTTTCTCATTAGGGAAAATTATACTCACACATAAGAAATCAACTCTTGCTTTACAAAGGCAAAATAAATTGAGGGTCTCCATGTTAGACTTTCTTTTTAAACTTTAGGCAAAACATTACATCTTTTGAAAAATGTATTTAGCAGAACTCAAGTCCTTCACTAAAGCACAGAAGTAGGAAGGGTGCTGAGACCTCTGGCTTTTGTGCTAAATAAGAAGATCAAAGTTTGCCTTTAGAGATTAGAATTCAACATAGAAAACAAATGCAGTTGTCAGGTAACTCTTACTAATTTACAGCAAAACTATGTAACATAGCAAAACTCCATTTTACCTTAAAGAAACTACATCATGCAAACTTCAAATTCAAAAAAGAATCATTCCGAATCCCAGTGTAGATCATGAGCCTACTTAGACCCAAGCAACAGAAAATAAACTTTTACATTTTTCTAGTCTTCCTAGAAGTGTGGTATTTTTGGCTGATAGATTAAGTGACATCATAGACTTGGGCCAGGGATTTGGCTCAGTGGTTCCACCACCTGCCTTGCAAGTGCAAGAGCCTGGGTTTGGTCCCTAGTACCAAAAAACAAACAAACAAACAAAACAACAGCAACAACAACAAAAAAAACAAATCAAAGAAAACATCATGGACTGAATCTGCTGCTAAGGAACACATCTCGTTTTGCTCTACCACTGAACTCCATCCCCAGCCATAAGGAACACTTTTTGATCTGGTAACAGAAAATGTTTCTGGTAATTTCTTCAGCAGTCCAAATGGAGGGAATTCTGCAGTGATGGGGCTCTCCCCTCTCACTGCTCTTGTGCGAGTTTTCCATTGTCCTCTCTTCCAGCGCCATATTCCTGCTGGTGCTCATCGTGAACCTGGCCTCCGGATCTCCCACGCCCATACTGCCTGCCCTCCTTGAAGCCCATGTCCCAGTCTGTGCGAATGATCCTGTCGTCCAGAGGAGCTCCGTTTACGAAACGTGTGGCATTTTCTGCATCTGCTCTTGAGTAATATTTCACAAAACAGAAGCCACATGCTGTTTTCTTCATTTTATCCAAACCCATAATGATCCTTTTTATGTCATCACTTTTGCTGAAGAGTTTGTAAATTTGTTCTTCAGTTGTGTAAAAGGAAAAATTTCTAACATGCAGTGTACAACTTTTCTTCAGTAATTTTTCTTGTTCTTCATTGTCACCCTGAAAATGCTAGTGCTTGTACTCCCAAGACATTTTGGATATCTTGGGCTTCATGATTATTTTATGTTTTTTAGTCACCAAGACAGTTTCAATTAATGCCCAATAGCAAGCTAGTAATTGTCTCTAAGACAGTGTGTACCCAAGGTAGCATCTAGAAATGTTCTGATCCCAAATCCCAAAACTCACTGCTAGGAAGTGCTCATAGGCTTCTGCTATAAAGTCCAAGTCTGCCGGAGTGTGAGTCACCAACATTTCCAGTATTGTCTCTGAGAGGAAATCAAATGGACCAAAGATTCTGAGAGAGCAACATTCAGGCATGGTCCATTTTTCTTTTCTTTCTTTTCTTTCTCTTTTTTTTTCTTTTGGTACTGGGGATCGAACTCCGGTCCTTGCACTTGTGAGGCAGGGCCGCCAAACTGCTGAGCTAAATCCCCGGCACTATGGCCCATTTTTGTTCAGCTCCTCACTCAGTCTCGGCTTTCTTTCTGGTCTTCTCATAGCTTGTAATATTTCTAGATTTGACATGTATATTTTCCAATATTAAGATAAAACAGTGACATGTTGGTCTTTTTATTTGGTTCTAAATGTAAGCAGCAACAGCTGCTTTTAGTTGCTTGTGGAATGTCCCAGGTGGTTCCTGCCCAAGTTAATTTTAAGAATTTCACTGTTTGGGTAGGGTGTTCTGCCTTCACTGAATTTATTAACAAGCTTTATTTGGCATATAAATTGGGGATCCTTCCCACATGAAAGCAAACTGAGGTTGGTTCTTTCTGAGACTCAGAGAGAGCAGAAAGTGTTTATAAGATCAAACACAGAGATCAGTTTCTCTCAGCCTGTTTAAATTTTTGTATTATTGAAACCATGTCTGGGACAGCTGAACCTCCACATTCTGTCACTAGTCTCTATGAGTCATTTGTCTTTTTCACAGGTCACACAAAGCTACTGTGCAGAGAATTCACTGGTACCACTACCAACTTCTAGCATGCCATGGATTAAAGTGGCAATGTCTTTTTGCCCATCAGATAATCTATACCATTTAAAATTAACCAACTGTGTGGGCTCGGGTATTTCAAGTAGTTTTCTTCAGTGTGTCCAGTCAAAATTGATTTGAGGGAAGACTTACATGACTTCTGACTTACAATGTTAGGTCAAGGAAGAATCCACAGTAGGATGTAATATTCAACCCAATCATATATTCAGGTAAAGAAGACATGCCCATTTCATATAAAATATGTTCCCCAAAATCTCAATTTCCATCTAAACGCTCACCTTAATCCCATCACTGGTTGCATTACTTTATCTTCCCAATCTAACTTTAGCTCCAGATAAGACTTTACAAACAGGTTTCAGAATCATAGTGCATGGGCTCTACAGGAGAAATGCTAGAAAAGTCTCTGCCTCTAGGCCACTTTATCCGCACATGGGCACAGGGTCTCGAGACCAGCTGGAAGACCTAGCTTCTCCATCAGTCTTCACCTTGATTATTCTCTTTAATCCATGATGGTGGATAACATATTCTGTAAGTCCATGGATAATACATTTGGTAGAGACATTCTGTAATCAGCTTTCTATTATTATAATAAAATATCTGAGATAATCACCCTATAAAGAGAAAAGTTTCATTCTGCTTCACAGTTTGGAAGGTTTCAGTCCATGATTCTGCTTAACACCTTTTGAGACCTCATCCACCCAGGGTACCATAAAGCAGCCTGGCAGCTGACCCCAGCAGTTCTGCCAACCCAACCCTGTAAATCAGGGCAATAGTCTCATTCATTACTACCCACCCTATAGCCTCAGGAAGCAGTTTGGTAACTTGTCCTGAATGGAATAGCTTGTAGAGTAGGTTCTCTACAACAGGCAGCCCCATCCACTTTTCTCCTGTCTCCAGAGAGCCAGATGGCCCCACATACCATCCTCAGCCATAAGCAGTAGCCAGGCTGCCTGCCCTTCAAAGCTCAGGGTACAGAGGCCTTGGTGAGCAAATGGACAGCCCTGTCTGCCTATCCATGACTTTAGGAAGAAGCCAAGCAGCCGTCCTTGAGTGGCCTGGCTCAAGGAAGGCTCCTGAGAAGCAACTAGGGAGCCCTTCCATTCTCCTATGGCTCAAGGCGCAGTTAAATAATTCATCCCCGGAAAAATAGCTCACTAATCCTCTCAGAAGCAGACGAGCCACCCACATGCCTTCCCACTGTCAGCCATGGGAAGTATCTGGATAGCTTTCCCCGAGCAGGTTGGCCTCCATGGCCCTATGAATGCAACTGTGCTGCCCTTAGATGCAGACAAGCACCCTGCTCCACTATTTAGCATGCTATGTTACACCCATCTGGATCCAATATGGTCCTGATGCCACACGACCTTCAGAGACAGATGGGAACCCCCTAGTCATATCCAAACACACCATGTTCAGAGCTGCTAGCAAACTCACCTCGTCTAAGAGGCTTTTATCCCAGAAAACAGCATTTATAGATGAAGAAGCTGCACTCTATAAAACGTAGAGGCAATTGTATTATTGTAGCAATAGATCTATACTCTAGGAATCAAAGTGGAAATCTAAACTATGCTATAGTAATATAAAGTCTGTATGAAGCTGAGTATCAAATATGTACACAGGAGAAATCACATCACTAATTAAAATATCACTTACCATATGCACATGAATAACATTTTTGCTAAGCTCCAAGACATTTGTTCTAATGGTAGAAATGAAGAGGGTTGCTGGACCTTAGTTAGGACTTGCTCAGGAGGGCAAATGACCTAACTGAATTCTTCCTTAGTCACCAAGATGCACATGTGTTACTTTCGCCCAGGTATGATTCTCATTCCTGAGACAAATCTTCATGTATATTCTTAAGCTATGAAGTCCATAACTAGATTTTGGAAAACACCTGCTCAACATTGAGAGTTCACTTGCATTCAGGAAAGTAAATGCTCAAATTCAACAGATAAACAGACACTTGCAAGCCAGACTGAGGAGCCTGCACCCAATAGCCAAACACCCAAATTTCTCTGAATCCGATGTTTTTGGAGGGAAAACTATAGAACTTTCCAGTGTGTGCATATATGCAGTAATGTAACAGACTGGCTAGCCTAAGATAGCTATTATTAATTTAAATATTTTAGTCTTTTTAACAATCTAAAATTTACTTCAAAAATATTTTCCCTGAGCAAATATAGGTTCTCCTAAAAAGAAATTTTATAACTATCTCTCTTTCTTTTAAAATATCCCACTTTTCTGAATACATATTTGCTATTATTATATATCTGATATATATATGAATTACTTGCAATCTTTTATACTACCCATACCTATGATGGGCTTCATTCTTATTTAAGTTTGCATCCATCATTCTGGCTCATTTGTTTCTACTTTCTTATCTTTTGATTTTCCTTGCAAAATATTGACACTGTTTTCAGAGGAGGAGTGAACTAAGAGGCTGGGGCATGGCAATGTGGCTGGAGCAGTGGGGTCCAGAGTAGCAGCTCCCGAGCCCAACATGGTATCAAGCCAAGCCTGCAACCAGTACCAATCTTCTGACATGAAAACATGCCAGACCTGACACCTGATGCCAGTCTTCTAGCATGAGGATCAAATGAGACCACTTGGATCAACCATCAAAGAACACATAAGAAGACAGTAATGGACTGTTCTTAGAGTGATCCATTCTGCTTATTTCTCTCTCTTTTTTTTTCAATGTAACTTTTTCTCCCTGAGAGCTTCTTTTCTTTTTCCTTTTTTTCTTTCTACTCCCTAAAATAAACAGTAATCTTTCACATTCCCTAATTATCCTGACCAATTCATTGAGCAGGACAATAGGAACCTGGAAAGCACTGCTCATCTTTACTCCACATGGTGGTAGGGGGGTTGGAACTGGATCTTGGATCCGCAACTTACAAAGATGGGTCGCTGGATCAAATCCTCAGCCTATGGAGTCCAATTTGTTGTTGTTGCTGTTGCTGTTGTCTTTAGATTTGTAAAATGGAGATAATAGTGAACTCACAGGATGGTTGAAAGGATCAAATAAGAAAATATACAGGCAATTCCTAATGTAGCCCCTCTTTGGAGACTACTTAAATAGGAGACTCCCCATTTTGCATAAGAAGCACAGGCATCCTAGACCTCAAACTGATAGTTGTTGCAGCTCTGAGAGCACATGTAAATATCCATTACAAATGGTTGTTTTAATCCCATATATGCAAGTGAAAAAGTAAATACAGTATATATTAGACAGGAGGCTCTGAGAGGACTGTGTAATCTAATCTTAAGTCTTGTTCTTTCAGAGCTCATCAAGAGTGGAGTCCTAAAATGTACCAATAAACTCAATAAAAGAAAAAAAGAGTGGAGTCAGTCTCAAAGCCAAATGAGCTTTATTTCTGCTTCTCTGACTAAGCCTCAGCCATGATGACCAGAAGTAGCATGATGACAACATGCAGCAGCCATAGTCAATCACCTTATTGCCTTTGTGTATACTTTCATTTGAGGCTTGTAGTTAGTGATAACCCATACATGTTAACTGAAAAGTATTTTATAAGTATATGTGCTTGTTTGTGTGTGATGAAAATGATTGTCAGTCAGTAAACATTTATTTAGAATGTATGAGATTCATTCTTGTCCTTAAGAAACTTCAGGCTGCCTGGAAGACAAGACCTGCTCTTTGAAAAGATCTAATTGCATTCTGAAAAATGCAAGGTTTCATTGTTTAATGAGTTGAATTCACACAAGGAAAAAAATGACATGTTTTCTCCCACCTACAGGAATATGGGCCAAATATAAGGGTTATGTTATGTTACTTGATGCTCACGGCAATGCTACAGAGTGAATATAAGCATTCTCATTTTGTAAATAATATAATCAAGGCTCATAAAGGTGAGGTGACTTGATAGGATCACATATTTAGGGAGTCATGATTCCAAGAAAGCAATGCAGACCCATGTCTCTGGATCCAATGTCCTGCTATGTTCATAACCACTGAGATGGCAGTGGGGGATATGAAGAGGAAGAAATCATTGTGAAATACACTTTGAAGTGAAAATTTGAAATGTTTATAGCAGCTTGAATATGGAAAGTGTTAATATATCAATACTTCATTAACAAAACTACTTTATAGGGATTCCTGGCTGAATTTTTATGAAATATTTCACAAGATAGGAGCATAAGGAAATAGAAATCCAATTATGTGTCTTCAGAAATCAGGTTAATTTTAGCCATCGATTCAGAAAGACTCAGCAGCCACACGGTGACACATGATGGTGTTCACCTATAATCCCAGCATTTTGAGGGACAAGGCAGGACAGTCACAAGTTTGGTCCCACTCTGGGCAATTTAGTGACTTAGCAAGATCATGTCCCAATATAAAAGTTAAAAGAGGCTGGAGACACAGGTCAGTGCGAGGGCCCTGTGTTCAATCCCCAGTATCAAAACAAAGGGTTCAATCCCCAGTATCAAAACAAAACAAACCAAAAAAGACTCAGGGTATAATTTAAGTAACTGCATTACCACCCTTCTGTGCAGTGTTTTAAGTGCTGACATTTAAATTGTTATTATTATTACTGTTCTGTGATAATAATAATTATTGTCATTATTATTATTACTATTTTGCAGGCTGGAGATAAATCCAGGACCTCGTGCATGGTTAGGCACATCTCTACCATTGTGGTTACCACTGGGGAAAACATTTTAATTTTAGAAGGCAACTCTGTAAAAGAAAAAGGCAATCAGTTAGAATATCTGTGTGTTTGAGTTTTAGCCCCACATTACTGCGATACAATCTTGGGAAGCACACATGATCACTTTTAACCTTGTTAGAATACTAATAACCCATTTTATCTAATTCATTTTACCTAATCCACTCACCTGCTCCCCATCCACTCACTGATCCATTTGTTCAAGTCTTCATTAACTATACATGTATTGAGCATCTACTAAGTTCTGGTCCCATGTCACATAGAGATGTCATGCTTAAACTAGACTCAGACTCTGCTCTTGAGGAGCCGACAGTCTAGAAATCAAGGCAGGATTAGCAAATGATGCAGTAACAACTTATAGATGGTGGAAGAGGAGTCTGTTCTGGTCACAGAGGTCAGAAAGGAGAGGTTACTCCTACTTGGTGGGATATAGGGTAGAAGGACATCTCCCTGATATCATGGAAGAGGGGTTGGACAGGTATGAAAAAAGGTGGCCATGAGCTGAGTCTTGGAAACAATACACGTAGTTTTTCCAGCAGATCTGGGGTGATGTTTGGAAGTGTGCTCCAGCCTGAGGGAGAGACAGAGATCAACACTCACTGACCAGTATGTGGTGGTGATGTGACAGCAACCTGACTGGCTCAGAGAGGGTGGAAGGCAGATACAGCTAGAGATGGACTAGTAAGGATGGTCTGCCATTCTGAGGAGGTTAAATTTTATGCTGTGGGCATCAGGAAGTCATTAAAAACACATACACTAAGAGCAAAATAATCAGTATAGCATTTGGGAAAGGCAACTGGCTGCAGAGTAGAGAATCGTTGTGAGAATCAGAAGAACCAACATCTGAAGACCCACAGTAAGCTACTCATCACTGTATGAATCATCATCCAAGTGTCTGCTTTTATTCTTAGCTTAAGACGCAGTAAGTCATTACTTGTGTATAGTTCATGTGTTACTGAAAACACATGCATTCTACTTTACTATCTTTTTGTATACTCTATCTTTATTTAAATAAACAAAGCTATAGAAAACAAAGAGAAATATGATTTATATCAAAATGAATTAAAATAACAGGCTACAGAAACTTACAAAAATTCCACCTTATTCCAGAACTCTCTCTCTTTTTTTTTTTTTTTTTGGTTCTGGGGATTGAACTTGGGTCCTTGCACTTGCAAAGCAGGTGACAGAACCACTGAGCTAAATCCCCAGCCCTCCAGAACTCTCATCTTAACAAAACATTGCTAGTGAAGCTCCCTGAAAATAATAAAAGATTAATGATCTTTAAAAGTAACAAATTGACAAGGATGTGGAGAAAATGGAGTATTTGTACAGGATTGATAAAGATGTAAAATGCTGTAGGTGTGGTGAAAAACAGTAAGGCAGTACCCCCCCCAAATAAAAATGTCATTAGGATGTGATACAGCAATTCCATTTCTGTGCATATATCTGAGAACATTGAAGCCAAAACGCAAATAGATACTTGTATATGCATGTTCATCACAGCAATACAACAGTAACCTAAAACTGGGAGTGATTCAAGTGACCATCCATGGATAAATGAATAAGCAAAATGTATGTACTTACAACAGAATATTCAGCCTTGGAACAAAAGGACATTGCAGCATGGATTGTCCTTGAGGGCATTATGGTAGGTGAAATAAATCAGTCACAGTAAAAATATTCCATGAGGTATCAAGAATAGTCACATTCATAGGAACAAAGTAAAATATTGGTCACTAGGGCTTTGGGAAAGAGAAATGAGGAGCCATCTTTTAATGAGTATAGACCTTCAATTTTGCAAGATGAAAAAAATTTGGAAATTGGCTGCACAAAATGTGAATATATTTAACATTGTTGAATTAGTATCATACTCTACTTGAAAACTTTTCCTTTAAAATCAGAGAGGATTATCCACTCTTGCAACTTATATCCAACATATTCTGGATGTACTATTTAGAGCAATTAGGCCAGAAAAAGAAATAAAATGCATCTAACTGGGCATAGTGGCACATGCCTATAATCCCAGTACTCTCAAAAGCTGAGTCAGGAAGATCACAAGTTTAAGTACAGCTTGGGCAACTTGTTGACTTGGCAAGAACCTGTCTAAAAATTTTAAAAGGATTGGGATGCAGTTTAGTGTGAAGGTCCTGGGTTTAATATCTTGTGCCCAGAAAAAATGCTCTTATATACGGGAAACTCTAAAGACTCCAAAAAAGACTGTTACAATTAATTTTTCATTAATTAATTTTATTGGTACATTTAAGATACACAATATAATGACATTCATTGGAAATTTGCACCTTTACATAATCCATCTTGGTTCTTATTCTTTTCCCATTCCCCTGCCCTCCCTTCAACCCCTCTACCCCTCCCTATCTACAAAGACTTTGTTTCCATAATTTTCTTTTTTGCATGTTAATTCCATTCCCATCTTTCTTTTCCCCTACCACTCCCATTGCTCCTTCCACTTTTCACCTTTTCTTCCTATTTCACATTATCTAGTATACCTTTTAGTCCTTATTTACACTTCAGTTTTTCACACTAGAGAAACTATTTGGTATTTATACATATGTGTCCTATCTCACTTAAGAGTATCGCCTCAATGTGCATCCACTTAGCTATAAATGTCTCTAGTTTCTCATTCTTTATGGCTGAGTAGTACTCTATTTTATAAAAACAAAAACAAAACAAAACAAAGCACATTTTCTTTATCTATTCTCCTGTTGATGGGCAATTGGGCTGATTCCAAATTTTAGCTATCCCAAATTGTGCTGCTATGAACATGGGCACACATATATCACTGTGGTATGATTATTTTCACTCTTTGGGGAAGATACCCAGCAGGAGAATAGCAGGGTCAAAAGGGACTTCCAATCCTAGTTCTTTGAGGCATCTCCATACTGATTTCCACAGTGGTTGCACCAGTCTACACCAGCAGTGGAGCAGTGTTCCTCTTTCTCCATAGCCCTGCCAGCATTTATTATTGGTTGATTTCATGACAGCAGCCATTCTCTGTGGGGTGAGGTGAAATCTCAGTGTTGTTTTCATCTGCATCTCTTGAATAACCAGTGATGTGGAACACTTTTTCATGTTTATTTGCTACTTCTACTTCTTTGTCTGAAAAATGTCTGTTCATTTCAGATGCCTGTTTTTG